TCGAATTCGAGTCATGGTAGTGGGAGCGGGGAGGAAACATTTAGGAATTACAGGAAAGTTGTATTTCTCATCGTTGTCACCAGCTCCTCTTTTTTCCCTCCCTCCCTCCCTATCCCCACCCTTGTGAACACTTACGTTATAAATTATTATTTTCATATCTTATACCATCCAGTGTCTCTCCTCACCCATGTTTCTGTTGTTCATCCTGGGGGGGGCGGGCAGTGTTATACATTGATCATTGCAATCAGTCACCCTTCTCCCTCCACCCTCCTGGTGTCGCTACTCCCATTACTGTTCCTAAGAGGTTTATCTGTCCTGGATTCCATGTAACGAGAGTTCTTATCTGTACCAATGTATGTATGTGCATACTCCGGTCTAGCCAGATTTGTAAGTTAAGACTGGGGTCATGATGTGGGGGGAGAAGTATGCATTAAAGAACTAGAGGAATGTTGTGTGTTTCATTGGTGCTGTACCGTGCCCTGGCTGGCTTGTCCCTTCCTTGTGACCCTTCTGTGAGGGGTGGACAGGATTCCTTAAGAAAGATGAGAAAAATCCATAAATTACAAAGGAAGATATTAACACGTTCAATGATATTAAAATCAAGCGCTTTCATTCACCAAACTTGTCATACCAGGCTGTGAAAAGCTAAGCCAGAATGATCAGAGGGCTGTACCCAGAATGTGTCCTGGCTACAGAGCAAAGAGGAAGAAGAACTTAAAAATGGGCAAGAGACTTGAACCGGCACAAGATCAAAATAAAAGTATTATGAATGGGCTTATAAAAAGATTGTCAACTCGACTGATAAGCAGGGGAATGCCAAGGAAGGGGCCACCACTAAAGGGTCAGAAACCTCACCAAAGCTACAAGAGGGTGACTTCTTAAAAAAATGATTAAATGGTGCGGGGGTGGGGTAGGGGGAGGAGAGAAAGTAATCACATCTTGGAAACCAGCAGTGGGCTCAATGGTAAGACGCCCTAGCCAGCTGACAGGGCTTAGGCACCAGTTGCACCAGATAACTGGAGGCTGGGAGGTAACGGAGCAGAGGTCAAAGCAGGGAGGGCTCATTGGCAGGCTGCCTGACATCTCTGCCACATGTCCACCCAAGGCTATTATTAGAAATGAAAACAGGGGGACTTCCCCTTTGCCCCCAAATCAATTAAACTCAAAAGATGACAGCTGTGGAGGAACTGAACAAAAGATTACATAGCATGGGTTAAACACTGGGCTGACTAGCCCAAGGGTCGGCAGTTCAAACCCACCAGAAAGATGAAGCTGTCTGCTCCCACAAAGACGGTCAGTCTTGGAAACCCTAAGGAACAGTTCTACTTTATCTTACAGGGTCGTTATGAGTCAGGATTGACTGGATGACAGTAAGTCACTTTTATTATAGAAACACACAGCAAAATGCCTGAAGTCCTTCCTTACCAGTAATGCCTTTAAGTGCAAACATTTAAACTCTCCACTTCAAAGTCTGAATTTTTAAAAAGCAATGCAAACACATGGCCCAGCTATATGTGTCTGCAAGTGACGCACTCCAGATCCAAAGGCACAGACAGGATGAAAGCATGGGTGGAAGAAGAAACTTCCAGGGACATCGTAACCCAGAGGGAGTCGGGGTGGCTGCACTAAAACCGGACGAGGTAGTGCACAAAGCATCACACGAAACAGAGGACAACACTGATTGCGTATTCTAGACATTTCACAGCCCCAAACCCATTGCTGCCAAGTCTATTTTGCCTCAAAGTGACTGCATAGGGTTTCCAAAACTGCAAGTCTTCAGAAGCAGACAACCTCACCTTTCACGAACCCTCTTTTGCTTTAAAAAAAGAAAAGTCGATTCCAGTCTCCCTCCTCGTGCTGGGATGAGCAAGTTGGTTGACAGTGTAGCGTGAAGGGCAGAGTCAGAGAATCTCAACGCCAGGAGGGTTTCACTCTAAGACACTAAAAAGCAGCTTCTAGGTATAAGCCGAACTGTGGATTTCGGTGACTCTCTCCTTTAGCCATGCCTACTTCTCCTGGTCTTTTAAGACCCTAAGGGAGCTACACACAGTGCTGACTTTACTCAGAATTTCAACTGGAATGTGCATGTCTAAAGAGAAAGGCATTTTGTCAGGGAGGGTAATTCTACTGTGGCGTGCAGAAGTCATCTCTGTTTGCTAGACATGCACACACCGCAGCAGTGGGGTGAGGTTAGTGTGTCTGTCCTTTACTTGAAACATGTAAGCCAAAACGCGAAAAGCAAAACGAGAACACCCCTGGCTTCCGTGGCAGACGCTGCTGTTGGGCACGGCCACGCACAGCCGGCCTCCCCGGGCAGCAGAATGGAACACTGCCCGGCACCGCACGGCCTCACAACTGTCTTTAGCTTGGAGCGGACTGATGCAGTCGCTGTGTCAGCCCTCTCCTGGAGGGCCTTCCTCCACTTGACCAAGCACGGGACGTCCTTCGCCAGGGACTGTTCTCTCCCGACAGCATGCCCAAAGTCTGTGAGACGAAGCCTCACCATCCTCGCCTCTGGGGAGCTCTCTGGATGTACTTCTTTGAAGACCGATCAGTTTGTCCGTTTAGTAGTCCAGGGTGAAAAC